GGGAAAAACTTAGACATGCACCAAAGGTGAAGTGCACACAGATTCTGACAAAAAAATATAGAATAAACAAGAAAATGTGATAAATCTTTAATACCAGTATTTAAAATGTGAGTTATTATGGCCATGACATTACAGACTTGTAGTTTAAAATAAATGGGGAATGTGTCCATGGGACACAGATGATGCCCCTGCTTGCATATCATATAAAGTTATAAAGGGACATAACTGAAAAACAGCATAAGTGACGCTACCCAAATTTGTACTTGATCTGAGTGTTGTGGTTATGAGTATTGTGTATAAGTTTCATAACATTTGGTAGAGGCAACCTAAAGTTAGAGAACAGAAACGAAAAATTCAGCAATTTTTTCCATTTGTAAAGGGGCATAACTCTAGAATACTAAAAGTGACGCCACCAAAATTCAAACTTGATCTGTATTTTGTGGTAAAAAGCATTGTGTATAAGTTTCATTACATTTGGTTGAGGTAAACTTCAGTTGTAGAACGGAAACGAAAAATTCAGCAATTTTTCCATTTGTAAACGGGCATAATTCTAGATCGGTGAAAGTGACACAACCAAATTTCAAACTCGATCTGTGTTTTGCGGTAATAAGCATTGTGTATAAGTTTCATAACATTTGGTTGAGGCAAACTAAAGTTAGAGTACGGAAACCAACTTTGGGACGTATGGACGGAGGTACAGACGGACAAGGGTAAAACTTAATGTCCCTCTGCTTCGGCGGGGACATAATAAATCGTAATAATGCAGCGGCAAAATATCGATATGATTATTGATTACATATAATCTCTCAGCGGAAATATTTTCTCTTTATTCAGGACTATAGATCTTGATTCTATGGACCAATAGATGAATCATTACCAAAGTTAACTAAGCAAAAGATTTAAGACAAGGTCAATTACTAACAAAAAATGTTTAAATGCATCAAAATATGACTAATATACCACCATCAGTATCTGATAAAATGTCTAAGCATAAGATAGGTCACGATGAACAATGAGTTACAGGGGAAATCAATTCATTAAGGAAGAAGTTTTCTAAGCAATGTACTATTGAAGGAAAAGTGTTTCCTAAATATCAGATATAATCACAGAGCTGTTACTTTATCACAGTGTGTCAAACTATACAATGTTTATGGGCAATATAGTATATTGAAATGTTGTTGATTGACCATCAAGGATTATTAAGAAAGAGTCACAGAATTTAATGACATCCCCAAAGACGAACAAAGTCAAATCTAAATGTCCAACTTATATTCATAACCAGTTGTCCAAATGAGTCTGTGTTACTGTGTAAATTAAGTATAGACTTTATTTTTTATTTTTTTTTCAAACAAACACTTATAAACATGATGAATAATTAACAAACAAATAATAACTTTATTTTTAACAAGAGTTCAAACGCTGAAATGTTTAAACTGTTTTACTTATTATTGAATTCATGTTGAAAGTCTGAAAAGTTTTTACTACAAGTATCACATAAATCCACATTATCAATGTTCTATGAAAATGAAGTCACAGTCAGATGAAACATGCCAGACAGATCGACATGTACACCTTACAATAATTCCATACATCAAATATAGTGGTCCTATCGCTAATAGTACCTGAGAAACAGATCAAACCACAAAATCTTATCATTGACCAATGAACCATAAATTGAGGTCAAGGTTATATGAAACATGCCAGACAGACATGTTACACCTTACGATCATTCCATACACCAAATATAGTTGACTTAATGCTTGTAGTATCTGATAAACTGAAAAAAATACGAAAAACTTATCATAGACCAATGAACCATGAAAATGAGTTCAAGGTCATATGAACCCTACAAGACAGACATGTACACCTTACAATCGTTCCATACACCAAATATAATTGACCTATTGCTTATAATATTGGAGAAATAGACCAAACCACAAAACCTAAACATTGCCCAATGAACCATAAATATGAGGTCAAGGTCAAATGAAACCTGCAAGACTGACATATACACCTTATAATTATTCCATACACCAAATATAGTTGACCTAATGCTGATAGTATATGAGATACAAACTTGACCATGTAACTTTAATAGACATATAGAAGTTGCAAGGAACCCATATACCAAATACAGTTATCCCATTACTCATAATAAGAGAGAATTTCACTTGACAAAATTAACAAAGAATGTGTCCATGGAACACATATGTCCCCCACTAGTAAATAGGCAAGACAAAAATTAGCATTTATGAATTATGTCATAGAAAGTGTTATGTTTTTCTTTTTAAGTACATTTAAACAAGAAATTTTTGAACTTTTCAAAAACATTAACAGATATGAAGATGGAGAAGTATTTGAAATTGTATCAATACATTTTGTAATTGTTATTTTGTACAACAAAGTTCCTATTATACAACATTCTTTAAATCACATTAGTCCGTCCTAATAATTTAATTTAATTTTTTTTAGAAAAAGTCTTATTCTTTTAAAAAATCTATCTGTACAATAATAAAATAAAATGTTAGCTAGATGAATAGCATGAAATATGTTTGATTAATTCAGGATCACTATATTATCTATAGTATAAAGCACGCAAATAAGCTCATGCAGTTTATCACTGATCAAATGTTGGCTCCTCAGTCAGCCCAAGATTTAAGGAATAAAGAAAGACCTCACTCTGATTTGAGTTGTGTCGGATTGACCCTCTTTTGAAAGCACCTAAAATCAAACAACATACTTTTATTTAATCTAGAAGTCATTTGTTTATTTATAGATTTCTAGTTTCACTTTCAATCTCGTTAACCTGTATAATAATAATAGAGTGAAATATATAAAGAAGAAGATGCAATAAGCATTTAAATGTAAGCCTAATATAATGACCTAACTGACATCCTAAAATTTATCATTGATCAATCACCGTTAGATCAAAAGTTATTTCTTATCAATAACTGTTAGATCAAGTTATCACGGATCAATCACCGTTAAATTAAAAAGTTAATTGTTGTAAATTTGAACAAAAAGTTATATTAATGAATATGTAAGTAAATTATACTGTTAATCTTTTACAGAACTTTGTCTCAATTTTTCCACATATATTCACTTCATACATTACTGATACAAATTAAAACCTTTGTCAAAACTATTTTCTAGCAAGTGCAGCCATACAAAGAAAGACAACTCTAAATGTGTCTTATACATACATGTTATGCCAGGCTCATACTGTAAGACCAAAGCAAACATTTTAAACATTAATCGCATGCTTCTGGAAATATTTGCAAGGTTAGTGACTAAATATCAGGGCTAAGGAATGCAATGTTAAACACTTAATTAAACATGAATTTACTTATAAATCTTTTTTACCCAATTTAGTTGTTTACTTTAAAAAAAAATTCCAGTGAATAAAGTCTGGCGTAAAGTTGCACCAGAATATCAATTGTTTTTATACTTTTAAGAAAAGTGCAGACCATAATCTTGGAAATGTTTGCAGTTTCTGCATCTATATATGAAGGCCTTTTTCTACTATACAAGACAAAACAAGACATTTTTATCAATATTCATTTGTATATAAAACATAAATATACAATACAAAAAGCAATAGATAAAAGTCTAGAGAACAAGTTAAGAATTATGACAAAGGTTCAGCAGATATATTGAAATAATGCAATAAAATTCATAAATTACAATATTAGTAAAATTAAATAATTTAATTAAATAAATATATATTCATATATGATAAAAGTAAATAATCAATGAAGTTTGCTTATGTTAAATTTTATAAATATTATAAATAGATTTGATGTATTTTTAGCATGGAATGAATCAGGTTACCCGTAAAAAATTAAAATCATGCCACTGACAGTTTTCAAATAATAATTTCGTGCAGATATTTAGATATTGACTAATCTTTTTAGTAATTAATAAAAGAAATATTCATTGTCAATTTCCTGAGTATTTATCTATTTGTTAAGACCTTGAAACCAGTGCTACAAGCAGCAAAATTTGTCAGATATTTATCACTACTTCAATCCCTTAAATGTTGTTATAACAGGCTTAAAATTTCCATTAAATATGAATTTTAAAATACTATAAAATATAATATAAACTTTATGTTTTTATTTAATCATTTTATAAGTTATAAAATATCAATATTTATAAAAACAATTCCTACATTTGTTCAACCATCTTTTATCTTTTCATATCAGTAACCAGATTTTGATTAATGTTTTCTAAATAATTGTCACTAATAGGAGAAAAAAGTAAATAAAAAACAAAACAAAACCACAAAACCACTGATTTTTCTTAGTTCCATTAATATTGCCTCAAACTGTTGATGTTGATAATTCTATCTAATCTATATTGTGATCTTTTCTTTCAGGTTTGTGAATTTCCAAATCTTAAGAATCATAATTCCTTGTAAAGATGACAAAACCATTTTATGAAGTAGTTTTTAGATTAAGTAAATCTTTCCTTGGCCTTATTTAAACATGAAACATCAGTATAAACATGATAAATAAAATATAAAGATAAGTGAGACATATATCTCATGGCACAAAATGGAATACATGTTACCAAAAATGTTTAAATAAAAATTTGAAGAGACTAGAGTCCAATAATGCATTAAATATTCCTGAAATCTCAATTCTTATCATGAACGATATGCAGCTATCACATTTTAATAAAAATCCTATATTGCCACAACCATTCTCCGAGATAAATATAAACTGTAAATATATATACATGTATCACACGTAAGACTGAACAACACAAGGACAAACTAACAAAACATTATGATGTACTGCTATTAATAGCATGATCCTGTAGACATAGGTGTTGTATAGTTATAGAGCCCCTTGACCGTCTCTCAGTGGGAGGCTCTGGTCTAACAGAGCTCCGTAACTGGACCTTAGTGTTCGGTGGTAACTCAGGACCAGCAATGGTTATACTGCCCATGTCAACCCCATCTGATTTTATAGAGCAAGATAAATCAAAAGTCTTACGTTGGGCTTTCGTAGAGGCTGAATTTCTAAGGTACTGCTTAGCTTTCTTCCCACTGTAATCTCTGATGTTGGAATCAGCTTCTGTAATTAAATCATTTAATGAGTACCAGTAACATGCATTAGTACTGGAAGGAGTCTTGCAAAGCAAAATCTTACTTTTCAAGTTTATCTGATTTATTTAGAGTTTGTCATACTGTGTTGTCCATCATTGTTTATTTTGGTTAACTCATGCTGTTGGGTTGTTGTCTTATTGACATCCCCCACATCTTATTTTATTAATTCCTATGATGGTAGGTTTATGCCAATTATAGATTTTTTTTTCAAATTTACACTTTCGACATTCTTCCATGCTGACATAGCGTAACTTGACAAAATGAAGGATTTCAAATTCATTTTTGGCCCTTATTAATTCGTCTGACTATTTCTTTCTATTTACAAATAATCTAACAAATTATGCAATTACTTACTGTAAGTTTGTACTAGAAGTTCAATAATGTTCTCGTGACCATGCATAGCAGCTAAATGTAATGCTGTATAGCCCTGTAAGGAGACAATGTAATAACTAGCCATTTTAGAGCTTTTGAAGTAAGGAAATAAAACAGCTTGACATATTTGATATACAAGTTTAAAAACAAAGCAATTTTGGTTCAAAGCCTGACATTTGTTTAGGTTAATAGACATGGCCTCTTGCAAGAAAATTGGTAAAAGTATGCATTGTTTATGCTGTAACTTATTTCAGCTGAAGTTTCTTAGTACATATGAAAGCTATTATCTATACTGTTGAAGTCTTTCTTTCTGATCATTTTTGTTCATTAAATCTTTATTCATTAACTCTTTTCCTCTCTATAAGTAAATGATGTCTATTTTTTGTGACATTTAGATGTCTATTTTTGGTTCATATTTTGTGTGTTGGAGTTTTCATCTTCAGTATATGTACCCTGTTTATTTCATGCACATTATGTATTTCAAATCTAAGTGTAAATTTTAAAAGGAACTTAGAGAATTAAACTTACCCCCTGTTAACAGGATGAAACAATATCAAGTATGAAAGAAAAGAAAACATAAATAAATTAAATATGCCATTTCTTCATCAAAATAACAACTTCATAGATTATTAAACAAGAATGTGTATTTCATTAAAGATTAATCATACTCAGATCATTTTCACTGAACTAGTACACAATTTTATTTAGGGGCCAGCTGAGGACCACTTCCGGGTGCGGGATTTTCTCGCTGCGTTGAAGACCCATTGGTGGCCTTCGGCTGTTGTCTGCTCTTTGGTCGGGTTGTTGTCTCTTTGACATATTCCCCATTTCCATTCTCAATTTTATCAGATCAGATTCATTAAAAAGAATAACAAGAATCAATAAAATACAGCACAGTCTTAATTTAAACCATACTCATTGTGTAGATTATAATTCATACTCATTGTGTAGATTATAATTCATACTCATTGTGTAGATTATAATTCATTAACTTCTAATTTACTTAGTTATCTTTTCAAATTGTATAAACAGTGTATTTTTGGAAATACATATTGTTATGTTGTACAATGAGAAACATTTATATCTATGTATATTGTGTACTGAATTTTCATGCTGTAATTATGCAAAAGACAACAAATGTTTACTTTAAAAATGCAAAACATCATCATACATCTTTGTTGTCTTTAACTAACTGATGATTTTGATAATACTGTTAATTCTGAAATTTTTCTGGTGTTTTTATTATTATGAAAATTGCGACAGGATAGGTGTTGCAAATATAAAATCCTGCATTTTCGTTGGTATTATTTGCATACAGCATTTTCTGAAATCATAATAATTTATCTTGCATTGTCGTACAACATTGTTCAACAGTTTTAATAAATTAATTAAAAAATTTCAGAATCTACGTAACTTCTTCACACATATTAGGAAACATATGAAATCCTCTAATACCATTTTCAAGACAAGAACATGTTAATGTGATATAAATATCAACTCGCTATGTACCAGACCAAAACGTTGAACCAGATTCAACTATCCTAGTTCACAAGCTTAAGGTAAGACACGACATCCTGCACAACACATTATTCTGACTTGGAGCCATCCAGTCTTTCCTCTTACTCCTTAATGCTGCATGCTTAGCGGAGAAGCAGCAAATACCAATTATGAAGTGTTTGGTTTGACCTGGTGGAGGATCAAACCCACAACCTCTGGCACTCAAGGTGAGCACACTAGCTACAACAAGACCACCAAGACGATTCCTAGTGTAAAAGGATATGCATTAATGATGAGGATATTTCTACATAGATTTTATTTCTAAATAATATTTTGTCTTTACTCATTTCAATATGTATGGATGGCTATGAATTATGCATGCTACATTCTGCTGTACAAATTGTGGTAATTAACTAATTCATACTTACATTCTGTTGTTTCAGAAATAACATGAAATACAAAAAGGAAAATTTATTAAAATATATAAAAATATCTTCAAATTTTCTTATATTTTATTGTTCCTCTTCCTAAATTGAGGAAGCAAAGTTTTAAATGACAATATATTGTCTATCCTGTAAGTAAATTAACTTTCAACAGTCTACATTTAAGTAAAAATAAATATAAAGTGAATGAGATAAAGGTGAATGCTGATGTGCAATGATTTATACAAAGCCTTTTGTGTAACTGTAATTAAATTAATTAAAAGTTAAATGGCTGTATCTTCAATATTTATAAAAGTATTTTAGAAGTATGGCTCCATTATCTGCAGTGGTGGCATTAATAATTATTCAAAAGTTTTAATTGAGACAACATCCACTTATTGTGGTCAATAAGTTTTGTATCAATATAATTTCATAGGATTGCTGCCTAGTGTTGTTTATTCCAAGCCACAAAGAGCAGTAATAAATTTTTAAATCATTGTCGACAGTCCCTGGGATATTTTTCTAACTTGTCAATAAAGTTTTTGATAAGCATAAAAAGTGATCTTGTCACATAGTTTTCCTTTGGCTCACCCTAAATATATCTTATATCTCTTATGCATAAAATATTTGTTCAAATTATTTCTCTTACTTACAGATCTAGTGTCAGTATCTACACCAGGCCTTGATAACAGTAATTTACACACCTCTGGTTTACCATGCTTAGCTGCCCAATGCAATGCCGTCTACAAATGAACAAAATATTTTCTTCAGAAAATAAAAATCAAAGAGCTGATAGCTCTGAGGTGGAAGAAGATACATGAAAGGATAACTTAAATTACTATGATAGCAGACCACACCAACTCAGCCCGCTATGTGCCATTGTTGCTTTCCACATATTTTTTTCTTCCAAAAATAATATACTTTATAATCATGTCTCCACCAAAACAGATTAAACTAAACATAAAAATCTCCTAATATTGTTGATTCAAATTAGTTTTTCTATAATTCCATACATTGCATCTCAGCGTGTTCAACCTGTGGGAAGCAAATATACCAGGATAGATTAGGATTCACTTGAAAGTTTTTCTGTCGAAGGTGGTTATTCACTTTAGGCATTCCGGTTTCCTTTGTCAATATAAACTGGCCACTATGAATTTAGTAGAGTGTGCTGAAAGTGGGGTTTAACACCAGAATCAATCAATCTCCTCAGAAACTTAAATATGAGCAACACTAACCCAACAATCAATCATGAACTGTGATAGTTGTTACCATATTTGAAATTGGTTCAAAATCCTTCATTAACAGATTTTTTATTTTCATGTTTGTTCTTATCATGCTTATGTTGTGCTGTTACGCAATAGTTGCTGGTCAGGGGTTGGGTTTTGATCGTTTGTTAACATTTCAAACCCAGTCATTTTCTGTATTTGCTTGTCCCAAGTCAGGAACCTGTGATGATTTTATTTAAAGATTCATTTCAGTGTGTCAGACAATTGGACTGACATTGTAATAACATATGTCAGATATTTCAAATTTTTATTGTCTAATGATTTGGACTGAGTATGTCCCAGGTTGTACTTTATTGTGAGAGCCAAAAAGACAGACTCTGAAACTGATTATTTTAAGAGGGGATTTATTTTAGGGACTGAACCTAGACTCTTAATCCCTAAAGGGAACTGTTGATTCTCTAGTACTGATGAAATTCTGCTTCTATAAATAAATTTATATGCTCTGTACTAGAAAGTATAAAAAGCAAAGCCCAAACCCCCTTTTCACTACAAGAATTCAGGAAAAAAAAACTTTTTGTAACGGGTTGAAAACGTCTAATGAAACTCCGGTAATTTCAAATCATGTGTGATCATTTGTTTGTAGTTTATATATCGTTATGAAAAGAAACGAGAAATTTGATATGAATCATCTAATTTTTGATATTATTTATCAGTTAATATTGGATTTTGAATTAAAATTGCATATTAATATGGATTAGGTAAATTATTAGTTTTGAAAAAATGTCTTTGTTTCATTAAATGATGCAGACGCTATTTTACAAACTTGTTATCGATCATGTCAAAAAATCAGTGTCTAGATAAGGCATGGAAGTGATAAAATTGTAAAGCACAGAAAGGGATACTGAAAAAATCCTGGAAATGTTCAATGTTGAGACTTGACCATCCAGCAGTATTGGATTTCAGAAAATTGAAAATCCAGCAAAAAATAAATCTGCCCTTGCAAGACTTTTAAAACTGCTTAAGTCAGAGGTTTTCAAATCATTATAATTATGTCCTCATTACAATATTATGGTATTCATACACCAAGTTTAAGGAAAATATAAACTTAATGACAATTAATTATTCAACACAATTAATGAAAAGACAATTTAACAGATATTAAAAAACGTTTATATGAAGAACAATTTGACTTTCCTAACCAATCAATTATTTGTACTGGCCTAATAAGTCGTCAATAAAACCTTATAAAACAATAATAATTACTTCATTGTCATGATTGTTATTATTTATTCATCAGATTAGCACCATCATTGTATATGTCCTTATATGTAAGAATATTTGATGCCCTATATGTCATAAATAATTCTAACATGAATTTTAGCAACTTTCAATCTTTGTTTGATTATAACATTTCAATAGTGTTGCATACTAAAATTTATTTTAAGAAACTACAAAAATTTTTTTGAAAACTTTATTACATACTTACATACTAATGTGTCAGGAAACACACAGTGGTCCAAAACAATGAAGTAACATGAAAAAGAAAGAAACACATGAATTAATGTCTTTCATTTAATACATCATTGTACTAAGTCTACATGTATATTGTTTTAATGCCTTACTAAGAAGTGTATGTATGTATTTAAAAGGTGTTGTGGACACAGTGCTGTGCTTGAAACATGACAAACAATAAGAAACAATTAAAGACGCTTGAGTATAGGTTGGAAACTTCAGAGAGATAAGCAATATATGTTGCCATATTCTTTAATGTTCTCATCAAAAGTAGTTAATGGAAAAAGTCCTAGCCATATTGAAATCAATCATGTTAATGAAAAAATCCTAGCCATATTGAAATCAATCATGTTAAACAGCAATTTTCTGTTCTTTTCTTTCTTAGTACTTAACTTGAAGATCGCTACAAAAAATCTAAATGTATAAGCTAATCTGATTAAAAATGCAAATCCTATGTCAACACTTAACTTACAAAGATTGACAACACTGCATGCATTCTACTTTTAATTATGTTATATGCCAAAATCATACACATCTTAATTTGGTGACGGAAATGTCATTGGTTGGCGTAATAATTATTAGAAAAGAAAGTAAAACTGAGTGTTGTTACTGATCCTTGTAAACAAAGTCTAGAAAACAGGACCTGTATTTTAATCAGATTGATATATTATCATAAATATTATACTGAAACAATGTTACTAGAAGTTCTACCAATGTAGTGATACTTACACCCTGTTTGTCCAATGTTAACACCATGGAAAAGAAAAAAAACACAAATATCAGTCAAAAACATATTCAAAAATTACATTTCTATTTTTTATCAATCTTCATCAGTACAGAATCTAATTCTGTATATCAATTTTGTATAATTTTTTTTTTAATAAAATCATCTGGTTCCAGTCAGTTATAAATGTTAATGTTTTGTAATACTATTTCATTTGAAGCATGAACTTTTTTCACACACGAAACCATACATGTGGTGAATCAATTTTCTTGCAATTGGTGATATCAAATTGAATGTAATATTTAATTATTATCTCAGTAAATCTTGAGTAATCAAGATTTCAAAAACAGACAATTTTTAAATCTGCTAGACATAAAATTAAAATCAGAACTGACCACTACATAGAAAACAAATCTGTATGAATGCAATTTAACCTTGAGCTTGCTGACTTTCTATTATTCTGTTAAAGTCCTTTGTGATAGTAATGCATAAATACATGTAACAAACGACATTCATTATTGAACGTTAACCATACTTCTTAAAATAATTTTTTATTAATTTAAATATATATCTTGATTTTCACTACAGTAATATTTTTTTATTAGTTTAAGATATTTCAACAGTAAACAGTCACTTACATACCAACATATGCTGGATTTATGATATTTGAATCAAAACTTTTCAAAATAATTGTAACAGCTGTTTATGTGATTTTATTTCATTGCAATTTAACACAAATTCCTAAAAACGGTTTTTCAGTTAAATATGTAAATATTTTATACTTACATTCGTGAAGTCCTAAAACATAAAGATGAATTCAATTATTGTTTATATTCATTTCAATTTCATTTTTCTGTCTTCCCTCTCAATTTCATATCTAATCATTACACAATATGACTTTTTTTAAATTCATAATTTTTGAATATAATATGCATAAAAAGAGTCTGTGTTTTATAACATATTGTCAGATATTAGTTGAATATAATGAATATAAGGGTAATAAAATATTACAAGATACGGTAACATTATTTTTTTAACAAATCAATATAGGTTTCACTTCTATTATCTGTAACACAAGCACACATATCTTACAATTGGATTTTTGAAAAAATATCTTTTTTTTGTATTTTCAAGGATTTCTAAAATATAATTTTTCGTACTGTTAATAAAGTTCACTGTCAAAATAAGGAAGCAAATAAAGTACAACACATAGCTAGGGTAAGAATGAATAATATTCTTCTTTTAACATTACTTTAACAAAAATATACGGTAATACAAATTCAAAATACATGTAAACATGGTAAATGAAAAGACACATATAAAATATTAAGCAAAGAAATATGCAAAATGGTTTTAATTTGCTAACAAATCAATAATATGAGGCAGGCGTTACCTGTGAAAGGGGACGAAGTCTGTATGAATTATTTTTTTTTAATTCAAACATATTTTAACTTCAAAATCTGTTCAAAAAAGAAACGGAAATACCCTTACGTTTCCGATTTCGGTTCTGTTGTTCAGAATTTTAGTTGTGACGTTATTTATGTTATGACATCATATTCAATGTTAACAAAGAAACGCTATCAGGTAACGTTTTTTCATATCAAGCCATTCAAGGAATTATTGAAAATGGAATTGGTATTGCGTTCCTTCCTATATTTTACTAGACTGATAAATATATATTTTACTCAAAGACTCATGCAAACGAGACCGGAAAAAGGAAGTAGATTTCTGCGCAAATGCAGGAAAATAAAAAAGTCTGAAAATAAAAAAGTTAACGATTTTGAGTTCATTAGTAGAATGAAAATTTCGGGAAATTTTCCCGATTTTTTTTTTTTTTTTTTTTTTATTGATTTTTCTACCGTAATAGGGGACTTCGTCCCCTTAATATGTATAAGCCTAATAAGTCGTCAATAAAACCTTATAAAACAATAATGATAATTACATTATTATCATGATTGTTATTATATATTTATCAGATTAACACCCTCAATGTAAATTTCCTGATATAAGTCAGAATATTTGATGCTCTATGTCATAAATAATTGTAACAAGAATTTAACAAGCAGTAATAAATCCTTATAATACCATATCAACATTATTAACAGTTCTAACACATTATAGAGAATGGGATTGAGATAAATAATCATGATAACAGGCAAAATAGGAAATTCTACAATTATTGTTATAACAGAAAAGAGAAAATTAGTTATAAAATGCATATGATATGATGTTGTCTTTTGATCATTAAAATGCTTCTGTCCAAATTTATAAAATCCATGAAGGTTTGAACAAGTTATCGATGTCTAAAAAACATTAACAATAGACTGAACCTAAATATTGAAGATGCAGATGTAGTGTAGAATTACTATGTCCTGCTTCTGCGACAAAATGTTGCAGTCTCCACATAAAGCATTTTCCCTACATATATATGTTTTAGGCCCATTCAGCTTCCATGTTTTCTCTCAACTACATGTGTATCAATCACCTTTCACAAAAAAACTATATGGTACATCAGTCACCTTTCACAAATAACTACAGGTGTATCAGTCACCTTTCACAAATAACTACATGTGTATCTGTTACCTTTCACAAAAAACTACATGGTACATCAGTCACCTTTCACAAATATCTACATGTGTATCAGTCACCTTTCACAAATATCTACATGTGTATCAGTCCCTTTTCATAAATAACTACATGTGTATCAGTCACCTTTTATAAATAACTACATGTGTATCAGTCACATTTCATAAATAACTACATGTGTACCAGTCACCTTTCACATATAACTACATGTATATCAGTCACCTTTCACAAATAACAACATGTGTACCAGTCACCTTTCACATATAACTACATGTGTATCAGTCACCTTTCATAAATTACTACATATGTATCAGTTACCTTTCACAAATAACTACATGTGTATCTGTTACCTTTCACAAATAAATACATGTGTATTAATTTACCTTTCATAATTAACTACATGTGTATCAGTTACCTTTCACAAATAACTACATGTGTATCAGCGACCTTTCATAATTAACTACATGTGTATCAGTCACCTTTCACAAATAACTTTATTGTAGATCAGTCAACTTTTTAAAAATAAGTACATGGTAGATCAGTCACCTTTTTATAAATAAGTACATGGTAGTTCAGTCACCTTTTTACAATTAACTACATTGTAGATCAGTCACCTTTTTACAAATGACTTAGTACATGGTAGATCAGTCACCACTTCACAAATAACTACATGTGTATCTTTAACCTTTCAAAAATAACTACATGTGTTTCAGTCACCTTTCACAAATAACTTCATTGTAGATCAGTCACATTTTTACAAATAAGTACATGGTAGTTCAGTCACCTTTTTACAATTAACTACATTGTAGATCAGTCACCTTTTTACAAATGACTATATGGTAGATTAGTCACCACTTCACAAATAACTACATGTGTATCTTTCATCACTTCACAAATAACTACATGTGTATCTTTCACCTTTCACAAATAACTACATGTGTTTTAGTCACCTTTTTGCAAATAACTACATGGTAGATCAACCACCCATCACAAATCAGTTATAGGTACTACACATTAATAGCCATGAGTTATGTACTTGACCAGTTCAGTATACCAAACCAAATGTTTTTTTTGAATGACAGACAGACTACAGTATACCATAATACTTCCTTCTATGACGAGCATATTGTTACATGAGTTATTCTAGATTATATTCATACAATAACTTAAGCATACTGTGGATTCATTATTAATTTGAGGATACCGATTTTGATGGATTTCTTTGGAATAGGTAAACCACAAACTCAAAATGTTCAAAGAAGTACATATTTTCTAAATACTTGTGTACAGACTTTGGCAAAATCTGTGAAATCAAATATCCATGAAAAAAACAAGTTTTCCTCAATCTTTGAAAATTTGTATCCACCTAATTAAATGAATCAACAGTAACCTAGATTTCTTCCAAGTTTTGCATAGCTTACCCTAGTTTTTGCTATAAATGGATGTTTAGTTAACACTCTGTGTATTTCATGATATTCTCCAGAAGAACATGTAACCAGCCATTCTTTTTGTTCTGGTGTATACTGTAAACAAAATAAATACATGTATTTCAATAATAGTATAAAAGGTATTGGTTCTTTTACTTTCTGGGTGATAACACATATATGTCACATACAAAGTCATATATGTACCATTCCTTAAGCAAGAAAAAAATATTTATACCAGTTTTCTGACTACTGTTGCACAAAAGGGGTGATAGATCAGATTTTCTTTCTTTTTTTTTGACTAAATCCTTGAAAATTTTCATTTATTGCCAGTATGTGACTGAATAATATATAAATATTTAGCATGTTTGATCAACAATCAGTTGATAAAACCTGATAAAAACATTCAGACAGCTATTATTTGTATCCCCTAGAAAAAAGTGACAAAAATTTCATACATACACGTTATTTTTAGAATAATTACCGTAAGTATTAAGTAATCAGGAATTTGATGGGCAATGAATCTGAAACTGTGTCACACATAAAAGCATGATGACATGAGCCTATGAACAAATTTCAGGAAGCTATTATTTGTAATTCCTGAGATAAATGCGACAGAAATTTAGAGTGACGAACTGCAAGACAGATGGACAGACAAGGATAAAACAGTTTACCCTTGCCCCTCCTTCAGAGTGTGGATTTAATGACATTATAAAAGGTAATAAAAATATTGTGTGGCATTACTCTTTGGAATAAAATGCTCCGCAGGGTGCAGCTTGATACGACCGCAGAGGTCGAACCCTGAACAGTTGGGGCAAGTATGGACACAACATTCAAGCTTGATACAGCTCTGAATTTCGATTGTGATTAAATATTTGACACAGCATAGGTTTCTGACACAGAATGAATGTGGTCTAAGAACTTAAAAATTTTAAATTGGACATTCACCTATTATGGTCCAATATCCAAAATCTAAATACATGGTTAGATTCAGCATATCAAAGAACCCCAAGAATTCAATTTTTGATGAAATCAAACAAAGTTTAAATTTGGACCCTTTTGACCTCAATATGGACAAAGTTGATAATGGGGCCCAAAAATCAAAAATCTAAATACATGGTTAGATTCAGCATATCAAAGAACCCCATATATTCAATTTTTGTTGAAATCAAACAAAGTTTAATTTTGGACCCCGATTTGGACCAACTTGAAAACTGGGCCCATAATCAAAAATCTAAATACATGTTTAGATTCAGCATATCAAAGAACCCTAAAAATTCAATTTTTGTAAAAATCAAACAAAGTTTAATTTTGGACCCTTTAGACCTTAATGTAGACCAATTTGAAAACAGAACCAAAAATTAAGAATCTAAATACACGGTTAGATTCCGCATATCAAAGAACCCCAATAATTCAATTTTTGATGAAATCAAACAAAGTTTATTTTTGGACCCTTTGGACCTCAATGTGGACCAATTTATAAACGGGGCCCAAAATCCAAAAACTTAATACACGGTTAGAATCAGCATATTAAAGAACCCCAAGAATTCAAGAATAAAACCCCATTGAAATTGGTCAAGAAATAAGCAATTTATACGAAGTATCTTCTTTTGCACAATACTGTGCAATTGAATATTTCTTGCTATTGCGCAATACTGTACAATTGACAATTTCTTGCTATTGCGCAATATTGTGCTGCTGGATATTTCTTGCTATTGCGCAATACTGTGCAATTGAAGATTTCTTGCTATTGCGCAATACTGTGCAATTGCAGATTTCTTGCTATTGTGCAATACTGTGCAATTGAAAATTTCTTGCTATTGCACAATACTTATTATATAATAATTTACACATCATGTTTGGTGTGTATCTCCTACCATATCATTATTATTTGCTTTTAAATATAAAACAGAAATAACCAACTTAAAATGGAAAATTTTAAAAGAAAAAAAGGAAAAAAAAAAAATCCCCCCCCCAAATTTTTTGAACCCCCTTATGATTCATCACCCCCAAACTCAATCCCAGCTTTCCCTTTGTGGTATGGTACCTTGCAGTACAATTTCAGAGAGATCCATACACTTGAACACAAGTTATTGTCTGGAAACTAAAAAAATGCTTATTTTTGGCCCCTTTTTCCTAAACGTTTTGGGCAATTACCCCCAAACTCAATTCCAGCTTTCCCTTTGTGATATGGAACCTTGTAGTACAATTTCAGAAAGATCCATACACTTACACACAAGTTATTATCATGAAACTAGAAAAATGCTTGTTTTTTGCCCCTTTTTTGGCCCCTATTTCCTAATATTTTGAGGCAATTAACCCCAAAATCAATCCCAGCATTCCCTGTGTGATATGGAACCTTGTGGTACAATTTCAGAGAGATCCATACACTTGAACACAAGTTATTGTCTGGAAACTAGAAAAATGCTTATTTTTGGCCCCTTTTTGGCCCCTTATTCCTAAACGTTTTGGGCAATTACCCCCAAACTCAATTCCAGCTTTCCCTTTGTGATATGGAACCTTGTAGTACAATTTCAGAAAGATCCATACACTTACACACAAGTTATTGTCATGAAACTAGAAAAATGCTTGTTTTTTGCCCCTTTTTTTGCCCCTAATTCCTAATATTTTGAGGCAATTACCCCCAAAATTAATCCCAGCATTCCCTGTGTGATATGGAACCTTGTGGTACAATGTCAGAGAGATCCATACACTAACACACAAGTTATGTCTGGAAGTTACAAAAATGCTTATTTTTGGCCCCTAATTCCTTAACTGTTAGTACCATAACCCCCAAAATCAATCCCAACCTTCCTTTTGTGGTATTGAACCTTATGGTGAAATTTCATAGAGATCCATTCACATAAACTAAAGTTAGAGTGCGAAAACCAATGTGTCTTTGGATGACGACGACGACGCCAACGTCATACCAATATACGACCGCAAAAAAATTTTGAGGCCGTATAAAAAGGACAGATAACTCTGGAAATTACAAGATAATTGGAAAAATAGTATATAAAATATTACAATGGAAACTGTAAAGGACTTACTGATGTATAGCCGCCGCCAGAGGAATGTGAATCATCATCAACATCATTTTCTCTATTGTCTCTTGTCTGAAATATATATCAAATTATTATATTCATTGTGATTTATTATGTAATTTACTAGTATTTGATTGTAATACTCTTTTTCCCAGAGCATCTGATAATCAGGCCTATTCTGATGAAGTTTTAAGCTTATAAAAAAATTTCTAATCATGATAATTTACACTACCCTGGTAAGTTGTGTATTTCACAAATAATTAAAACAGGGTTATTCAAGAACTAACTGTAAGGTTTGGGTAAAAGGCATGTAATTATAATAATAGAGGTGTAGTAGAGTTAGTAGCAACTTCTCAAACAAAATTGTTTTGAATTTCTAATTAAAATTGAATGCATGGGTGGAGGTTATAGAAAAAGGACCTTTTACGTGTTTTAACACTGCCCTCTCATTAATTTTGGATCAATGGTGATTAGTTATCTACCATTTTAAACCAGATTGTACTCGTTGCATTGATTCATTTGCTAGACATTTATAACGTGTTGAGTGTCTAAAGCATTAAAGAATTTGTTCATCCTACCGTTTTGTGAAATATAGCTTCATTTATCTGTGTACATGACAGCTAACCTCACAAAAGCTCAGTAAACATACAATTATTTTAGAAATCTGAGCTTTAAACAAACAGATTAGGATAATTATAAACTCTACTCTGTTGTTGTCCAGGAACAGATAACATTAAACAAGACATATTGTTCACATCTTTGTCTCTTGGTCTTTATAAGTAGAGACTTGTCTCATTGGCAATCATACCACATCTCATAATGTTCAAATAGTGCACTCTTTCCCTTTGTCTCTGAGGATAGTTGTCTCATTGCTTTTATAAAGAGTTGATATATCTCACTAGAATTTATAAAGGAGCCCACAATACACACATTACAGGACTTGTGTTGGTGAAATGTCCAATAAATTCTCTGTAGAGGTCAAATACTGAGACAAATTGAAGCAACCAATACAGATCAAATGGTATCTGCATGTGTACATTCTGATGAGTTTTATATGTATAGAACAAATCAGGATTTTTTTACTCTCATTTTAAAATTATTTTTGTTGAACAATGAAAAACTTGTGTATCGATGATGAAAAGAAACCATAAAAAGGCTATACAAAACTATAAATGACTCAATGAACCAGAAAAACATTTGCTAGTGATACTAGATTTAGAACTTTGTGAAATCTGGAATTTGACAAAAATGCATTTGCACACCTTGTTCTGTGATGATTTTTCTTTGTGATGTTATAAAACATGGAGATTATTGTTTACAAATTTCTTAAGGTGCTAATAAGAATGAGGATGAGAATCATGACAAAGCAATGTACAGTGACTGTTTTAGGAAGTCAATAGGTCACAAAATATTGTCAAGGCACAGATTCTAAAATTGCAATACAGTGTTTTCTATTAAATACTGTAAAGAATGAGAAGATCTGTACTTTTTTTCCATATATTTACATAAATAAATCAACAAGATGCACTAGAAAATTTATAACTTCTACATGTATGATAAAATGTGTCATGCAAATAAATGCAACTATCGTGTAAACTCTAAAATATATTTTCAAACACACAATTAGCTGTGTTCTTTGCATTAAAGTTTGGTACTGGATTTTGTTTGGATAGCAAATGTAGAGATTTTATATTCTTTCATTAAAACAATAAAAACAAATTTTGAAATGTTAAGAAATCTATCATTTTCTAGAAACATGCAGGTATCTACAAACTGAATGTTCATGCTTTCTAACTCTTTTTTTGGAAGTTAAGCCAATGCATGCAAGGGTTATGCTCATTGCTGAAGGATGCAGGGTTTCCTATAGGTGCTTACATCCAAGTCATATAGACTATGATGGATAGTTGTCTCATTGGGAATCATACCACATCTAATAGACAATTTCACTATATCTATGGAAATGTCATAATGACAACATTTATAAGTCATTGCTAGTATATCTAAATGTTAAATCATTTAATATCAATCCCATTAGATTTTCATCATAAGCATTGCATTCATATAGATCTAGCAGAAATAATGATAAACGATGAAGTAAATGCCAGTTTAAACATTTTGAAAAAGTCACTCTGGAATGAATATATCTTTTAACATAAGATAATAAAAAATTTTCAACATGATTATAATGTGTATATAAGAACAAAAGCTGATGTCAAGTATATATCAATGACAGCAACCCAACATTTAATAAAATGCTTTGCAGGGAGCAGCTGGATACGACAGCAGAGGTCTAACCCTGAACAGTTGGGGCAAGTATGGAAACTACATTAAATATTCAAGCTTGATACAGCTTTGAATTTCGATTGTGATTAAATATCTTACATAGCATAGGTTTCTGACACAGAATGAATGTGGTCTAAGAACTTAAAAATTTTATATTCGACATTTACTTATTATGGTCCAATATCCAAAATCTAATTACATGGTTAGATTCAGCATATCAAAGAACCCCAAGCATTCTCTTTTTGATGAAATCAAACCAAGTTTAATTTTGGACCCTGATTTGAACCAACTTGAAAACTGGGCCCAAAATCAAAAATCTAAATACATGTTTACAATCAGCATATCAAAGAACTCAAAGAATTTAATTTTGGACCCTTTGGACCTTAATGTGGACCAATTTGAAAACTGGGCCCAAAATAAAAAATCTTATAATTACACAGTTAGATTCAGCATATCAAAGAACCCAAGGAGTTTAATTTTTGTTGAAATCAAACAAAGTTTAATTTTGAACCCTTTGGACCTTAATTTGGACCAATTTGAAAACTGGACCCAAATTCAAAATCTAAATACATTGATAGACTCAGCACATCAAAGAACCACAAAAATTCAATTTTTGCTGAAATCAAACAAAGTTTAATTTTGGACCCTTTGGACCAATTTAAAAACAGGGCCCACAATCCAAAATCTATATCTAAAATAAAGATTCAGCATATTAAAGAACCCCAAGAATTCAAGACTTTTATTTAAACCCCTTGAAATTGGCCAAGAAATAAGCAATTTGAAAAGTATTGTTTTTGGCCCCTAATTCCTAATTGGTTAGGGCCATAACCCCCAAAATCAATCCCCACCTTCCTTTAATTAGAGGTATATAACCATGTGGTACAATTTCATAGAGATCCATAAACTTATACTCAAGTTATTGTCCGGAAACCAGACAATCCTTGTTTTTGGCCCCTAATTCCTAAATGGTTTGGGAAAATCATTCACAACCTTACTTTTGAGGTACATGTATGGAAACCTTGTGATACAATTTCATAGAGATGTATACGCTTATACATGTTATACACAAGTTATTGTCTTGAAACAAGAAAAATGCTTGTTTTTGGTCCCTAATTTTTAAAAAGTGAGACCCCCAAATTCAATCCCAATCTTCCTTTTGTGGTATGGAACCTTGTGGTACAATTTCGTAGAGATCCATACACTTATACACAAGTAATTGTCTACAAACCAAATGTGTCGGATGACGTAGAGGACGACGACTCCATACCATTATACAGCCGCAAATTTTTGCGGTCATATAAAATCCAATAGACAGTATAAAACAACCAAATGACAAGCCTCCTGATTAGGGAGAGGCACATGAATATGTTGTAGAGCTACTTGTTTTTTTCTAGATCTCAACCCTCCCCCTTTTAATCACTTCCAGTTGACTAACAACAAGAGGCTCTCAAGAGCCTGAATCGCTCACCTGTAATTTTTTGCTTAAATCTTTCATCAATGATTATTTTTGCTTTTTAATATATATTAATGAGTGGCTTAAAAATTCCATTGAGATGTTCTTTGTATCTGTCATATTTTCTCCAAAAGCAAAGAAATACATTTTATCCCTATATTCCATTTTAGCCATAGTGGCTATGTTTCTTGACATACAAGAAAATAAAATACAAAATTTATTCTAGATACTCTGAAACTCATTCAGCCTAAGTTTGGCTGAAATTGATTCAGCAGTTTCAAAGGAGAAGATTTTTTTAAAGTAAGCAAACTAGATGAACAAATTGTGAAAAATTGTCTTTAAAGGGCAATAACTCCTTAAGGACACATTTGACAACTTTGGTCATCATATTAACTTATTTGTAGATCTTAATTTGATGAACATTTTTGCTGTTCACAGTTCATCTTTATCATTAATAATATTCAAGATAATAACCAAAAACTGCAAAATTCCTTAAAATTACCAATTTAGTGGCAGCAACCCAACAATGGACTGTTAGATTCGTCTGAAAATTTCATGGCTGATGGAACTTGGCCTAATGAACATTTTAAGTTCTCATCAGATTTGCTCTAACTGCTTAAGTGTTTGAGATATATTAGCCAAAAACTGCATTTTACCCCTATGTTTTAATTTTAGCCATGGCGGCCATGTTTTTGACGAAACAGAAAATAAAACACAATCTTTATTCTAAATACCCTAAGGATCAATCAGCTTAAGTTTGGTTGGAATTGGTTCAGTGGTTTCAGAGGAGAAGATTTTTTAAAGTTAGAAAACATGATGAACAAATTGTGTAAAATTGTCCTTAAAGGGCAATAATTCTTTAAGGTGTCAATTGACAATTTTGGTCATATTAAACTTATTTGTAGATCTTACTTTGCTGAACATATTTGCTGTTTACAGTTTATCTTTATCATTAATACTATTCAAGATAATAACCAAAAACTGCAAAATGTCCTTAAAATTACCAATTTAGTGGCAGCAACCCAACAATGGATTATTAGATTCATCTGAAAATTTCAGCGCTGATAGAACTTTACCTTACAAACACTTTTACCCTATGTCAGATTTGCTCTAACTGCTTTGGTTTTTGAGATATAAGCCAAAAACTGCATTTTACCCCTATGTTCTATTTTTAGCCATGGCGGCCATGTTTTTTGACGAAACAGAAAATAAAACACAACCTTTATTCTAGATACCCTAAGGATCATTCAGCTTAAGTTTGGTTGGAATTGGTTCTGTAGTTTCAGAGGAGAAGATGTTTGAAATAGTTTACACCAGACGGACAACGACGACAGACGACAATGGACGCCAAGTGATGGCTAAAGCTCAGCGTTCCTTCGGAACGGTGAGCTAAAAAGTCCATTAAAGAATGTTCTACAATTAAAATCAGTACAGCAAAAAGCAATTAAATGCAAGACATGTATGATTTTTCATCAAAAAGAGTATGATAATTCTAATGATATCCTGAAATGATTCTTGAATCATATAATGATTTAAAGCAATCTAAGCGATAGCTTAAGATGTTTCGTTTATTGGTAGTATAAATATACTGTGCTTTATGATATGCCTATTTTTATTTGGGGCATACTGTGAACTCACTTATTTTGGATTTTGAAGTGTGTAATTGTGGTTATAACAAATTCTTCATATAATTCTACACAAAATTTATTTTTTGTTGAAGTTATTGGTTCTCCTATACCCATTGCATGAAATCATGAAAATAAGATCCCCATGGATAAATAATAAATCCACAGGATAGCTCATTTTATTACTGCATACATGTCTTAAAACTTCTATTAACGGTACACAGCAATTTTTTGTATGAACATTTCAAGTTTATGTTAACCATATAATATCACTCTTATTGATTTGTTCGTAAAAATTAAAAACAATATTTCGATTGTAAAACTTTAAAATTAACTTTTCTTCTATAAAATTATTTTATTTATCATGTGACCATCCATCTTGTAAATAGAGAATATCATATAGCTTTTTCAATATCATACCTTTATCAACTAGAGACACCAATGTAATACCAAGAGCTCTGCTCGAGGGATTATATTAGTTGAGGATTGATACGGTGTGTGATATTGAAAAAAAGCAAAATCATATACACTTTATTATATACATGTACCTCAAGTACAACTAATTTAGATTTTTTTCATGAGACGTGATGTCATACATAATAGGGGTTAGAAAAAGCCTTTGTAACCATGACTGATATTGATTACGTGATGTCATACATATAGGAATTTGATAAAGCCTTTGCAACCGTGACTGATATGTATATCATCACAGATGGCGGAAACAGCACGATTGCCATTCAGTGTATTACACATACAATTTACCTGTATTTACTACTAAGTATATAATAAATGAAAACAATACTTCATAAACTTGGTGTGCCCAAATCACTTTTACATAAAACATAGCACATCTAAAGCACTTCTCTAGATTTACCTTCATCAAGAACACTCATACCCAAAACTTTGATAGCCAAGGATGTATAAATATCGGAAAAACATGTATTGAGCTGTAAGACCAAAAGAGATCTTAAGAGAATAGCCAAAGTGATCTAAGGTAAACTTGTATGATGGTATTATTGGTCTTCTATTTTTGCTATATTTTATCCTTTAGCTCTACATGGTGATTTTGCCAAGCATTATTCACAAATGTTCACTATTTTTACATGTTATATTTTTAGTATATGTGTACACTGGTGTATATAAACTATAAAAAAAAATTGAAAACCTAATAGGAAAAAAATTGTTTACATGTCTGGTGATATCCTTTCGTCGTAAATTTGGTTCACTTGTCAGCTGTAATTCACTTTCCGACTGTATTTTGTTCAAATGTTTGGCTCGATCTTTGACACTGATCACAGAATCATTGACATCCTCTTTTGATTTGGACATTTGCTCATTTGGCTGAGGATCTGAGGAATTCTGGGAAGTCTGAAAGTAACAATTGTTAGTACAAAACCATGCATTAAATATACAGACAGAAAAACATTACACAAAAATACTGTAAACAGATGTAGACAATCAACAAGGTTTGAATATCGAAACAAATGTTAACATGCAACATATTTTGACATGTTTTTAGCTGTAAATTGTACACCTACTTATATTTATACTTCATGTAATGAGAAAAATATTTTCAATTAAATAATTTCATAGATTTATTCAGTAATATTAACCATATACATGTATATGTTATTGACATAAAGTGGAAGGATTTGTTTTCTACTATCCAAAACGGCTGTAAATTATTCACATACATGTACTAGCTTTGATTGCAATGTTTCAAGGCCTATAAGTTTGTAGAGCAAGTATGTAAGGTCACAAAGAAATATTCTCATATGAAACAATTTATTTTTTGTTTACGTTCACAACTATTCATCTTCTTAGTGTTTTAAACAGTCCATCTCAGTTCCAATATTTTGGCCCAGTTTGCAAGTTTAGTTTAGGAATAAGCACAACTGAAGAACTCATTATTTAGACAATGATTGATACATACTATTGTGTTATTGTGAAGTCATTATTATTCGTGATATACCAATTTTCGTGGATATCGTGGGTTAAGGGAAGAAATTAATCCATTGTAACTGAATTCTGTCTAGAATTAACAAAATAATATATGACGCATGCATTGATTAATATTCAATTTATGTACTGTCACAACTGTATTACACACAAAAAAGCAAAATGCAATACATAAGATACATACTCAAATCAATCCAAACAGACAAATATTCAAAATACAAAAAAAAAAAATATCTGCAATATGCATAAGCGATTTCAATTTTAAAGATGTTTTATTTCATAATTTTTGCAATTAAAAAATAAGTATCTAAACTTACTTTTAAGCAGTCTTTAACCCTTGTAGCCAATGATTGCCACATTTTATTATTAATTAATAAAATATAACATATGTTACACTATGATTTTAATGAATTCTATGTTGAATAACAGCTGTTACAATTGTAATTTTGGTCAATACACCACATAAACATGATAAAAGAATATTCTATATATTGATCAAACATTGATATAATCTATTTTTAGAGATATAAAGGGACACACAGAAGTACACTGTTTACAATCTTGTCGTAGTAGGTAACATTTTTTATATTATTCAGGATCTTACTAAATATGCTAAATAAGACTTAGTAACAAATGGATGCAATTTCTCAGGTAATTGATTCAATTTTTCTTCATACACATGTTGAATGATGGATGTGTTTATTACCTAAATAACTGATTTTTACACTTTATTTTATTCAGATTCTACTGTAAACTGATTGATGAACCTCACTGATATTGTTCAACTATATATTCAATTAACACTGCCTCTTTTTTTAATGCTATTTCAAAAACTTGTCATTTATTTCTTTTCTTTTCACAAAATGATGAGTTCTTCTCTATACAATCCTTCTAAATTAAGGAAATTTCATATCCTTTAGCTTAAAAAAAAGTTTGATGGCACATACATTTAAATTTTTTTCAAATCATAGAAAATAAATTTTTGCATCTATGAATAACATGACTATATATAGATTCTATTCATCTAAAATCCCTAAACCACTTTAAGAAAAATAGTTTGATGCTATCTACATTGTACATGATTACACAATACCAGACAGATATCTAGGATGGTTTCCCAAACTTACAGTAGAAGATGCTAGAGATGAAGCAGACAGTGTATCCATACTTCCTCTTAATGATGATGTTTCAGAGTTATTGTCCTTAACACTCAGATGACCTTCACTTCTGACCTTTGACATCCCACCACCATCGAAGTCATCTCCAGAAAGTTTGTCTGGAGGTTCAGACATAGCCCTGTCAGTTTGGTTCTCATTGTCAGGTCTATATCTCTTCTTTAAAACAAGAACTTTCTCTCCTTTCTGCAAAATTAAATGTTACAAAAATTGAGGATAGTGTACATGGTTTACATGTATTAAGGTGTAATACCACCATTGATTTTCCCCTATTAGTCTTTGTTAAATTTGCACTTTTCAAAAAATTGTGCAGAATTTATCTTTGTTTCAAATAAAGAAATACTTGGCATGAGTAAAGTTTGATCCTGTCCAGTACTATAGAAAAAATTTCACATAACATTTCATTGCATATAAGAAAATAACCATCACTGGAAGTTAACCAATCAAATTTTCCCCCTTTTTTAACCTGTATGCAAGCTTTAGTAACCATGTAACCTCAAGTTTCCAAAATATTTCATAGAAACCCCAAATAAAAAAATAATGGTGCTTTGAAATACCCAAGATATATGTTTAAGACCCAGAAATGTTTTACTGCAATGAAATGTAGGATCAATTACCTACAACTGTCAAATTCAAGGGAATATTTTTTTTCGACCTATTTTCGTATGCAACCGGATGTGACGTACTATGATTTGGTGGTATTACACCTAAAGAAGACTTTTTTGTTAAATAAACTGAATGTGACTTTTTTCCTTTGTTATACTGGTTATTTCAAGCATTCCTGTCAAGTTTTGTCATAATCAGTTCAATAGTTTGGGAAAAATCTAGTATAATGTAAGGCGACATCTGCAGCGATTCGAGCTAAATTTCTTCGAAAAATCCAAACCAAGCCGCATCATGATAGAATATAGTGTGGACCAATAAATGATCAAATATTTATCTCATCTGCCTACAAACAGTTGGATATGATACAAAAGATGACTTTAGGATGATAAATACTACCAATGGACCTCTTTGTCTTCCTTATAAGGTCTCTTTTGGTCCATTTATACCTCTCATTTCCTCAAAATTTCTACTTTATATGCCAATAAATAAAAATTTTGGGGTAACTTTCACTCATTTATGATAGAAATGTTATAATAAATGATAAATTGAAGTATTCAAGCTGAATGAACTATCCGTATAAAAGTTTACTGTCTCCAAGGAGGTTTCAATAAGTCCTTACGTAAAACTTAAATTTACGCCGCGTTCCAGAGAGGGACATAAAAAGCTTCTCTTTTGGTGAATAATTTGTTGTTACTGCTTTAAAAATAATTTCATTTACTTAAAACTATATATTTATTAAAGTATTTCTTAGGAAAAATTTTCTAGTATAGCAGAATATAAGAAAAAAGGAGAAAAAGCTCCCCAAAACTCTAAGTATGGCTTATTCTGTCAACTAATATTCATGGTAAAGTCCTATTTCAAGGAAATTTTCTCATAAAATGTGTTTTGGAGACTCAATCCACTCAGAATATTTCATTATTAGTAATATTTCACTTAAATAGCAAGAAATTTTAACACATGAGAGTACTCACAAGGTCAAATGTGCATGTACAGCTTCCCATATTAGGTGTAATACCACCATTGATTTTCCCCTATTAGTCTTTGTTAAATTTGCACTTTTCAAAAAATTGTGCAGAATTTATCTTTGTTTCAAATAAAGAAATACTTGGCATGAGTAAAGTTTGATCCTGTCCAGTACTATAGAAAAAATTTCACATAACATTTCATTGCATATAAGAAAATAACCATCACTGGAAGTTAACCAATCAAATTTTCCCCCTTTTTTAACCTGTATGCAAGCTTTAGTAACCATGTAACCTCAAGTTTCCAAAATATTTCATAGAAACCCCAAATAAAAAAATAATGGTGCTTTGAAATACCCAAGATATATGTTTATGACCCAGAAATGTTTTACTGCAATGAAATGTAGGATCAATTACCTACAACTGTCAAATTCAAGGGAATATTTTTTTTCGACCTATTTTCGTATGCAACCGGATGTGACGTACTATGATTTGGTGGTATTACACCTAAAGTGTCCTAGCTATACATAAATAAAAGGGCACAAATCCCATCTGCTTTCTCAGTGCTCAATAAAGCTATTTCTGTTCACCCCTCTACTTTCTCAGTGCTCCCCACAGCTGTTCACCCCTCTACCCTTAAAGGTCTGTCCTATGATCTTTGTTTTCTGATGGAAAATTAATACTTTTTAATTATCTACTAGAAAAAACTTTTTATGCCAAACTTTTATTTCAAATTCCGTTTATTTCTAATACTGTGGAATCATTATTTTTCATCGGAAACCAATTTTCGTAAATTTCCTGGGTACTGGTGAAACACGAATTTAAATGTTCAACGAACTGCAAATTTTCTATAGGGCTGTATGCAGACTTTGGCAAAACCACGAAATTAAATATCCACGAAAATGCAGGTTTTCATCAATCCACGAAAATTGGTACCCACGAAAATAAATGAATCCACAGTATGTAAGCTGACTTTAATCAATTCACGGCAAAATAACATTGCATTGACCCAAAAGTTATTTTTACCCATGGCCAGTTACAAACACACAAACTTTTTTATAGTCTTTATCATGTTTATCAGCATCATATCTGTAAATACAAACATATAACGTTTGTACTAAAAAAATAATATAACATGGTATTTCTTAATCTACCTTTTATCATGTTTATTGAACCAAAAAGTAAAATAAAAAAAATACCAAACTCCAAGGAAAATTCAAAACAGAAAGTCCCTTATCAAATGGCAAAATCAAAAGCTCAAACACATCAAATGAAGGGAAAACAACTGTCATATTCCTGATTTGGTACAGGCATTTTCTTATGTAGCAAATGGTGGATTAAACCTGGTTTTATAGCTAGCTAAACCTCTCACTTGTATGACAGTCACATATAATTCCATTATATTGACAACAATGTGTGAACAAAACAAAAAGACATAATATATATATATATAAGAAAATGTCAAAAATAGGAGTACAGCAGTCAACAGAAAAATGATACTTTCCAACTCAGGGAATATCTAATTTCAACAGCAAGGGCAACAGGCGCAGTGGTTCCCAAGGCTTTCAGAAATCAACTGGACATTTGGTCCAGTAACCATTTTTTTTAACTGGACCAGACTCTTTTTTATAGCACATTTACACATATTGTTAGGACAAAATTTAAAATTTTACTGGTTATTTGGTTTAGTAATGCAAAACTGGACCAAATAACCAGTAAAATATTGAATTTTGTCCTAACCATATGTGTAAATGTCCTATAAAAAACAGGAAACCAATTTTTATTGGACTTTGCCTAATGTCCAGCTTCTTAGGAATGACTGCAGGTGTGATATACATGTACTCACTAATTCAGTTAAAATGGTTCTTTCTTCTGCTCATTTAAAATTTCTAAATAATAACTGGCCTCCCACAAATACTGCAGATTTCAATTATATTTTAAGATGACTCTTCACATATCCTATGAGGAGTGTTATTTCTGATTATACTACTTTCTTGAGCGAAAGTATCTAACCAACAGCTATAGCTCCTTCAGCTAGCCTCCTGTAGTATTTCCAAATAATGTGCTGTTTATTTCTTTCCTTGTACAAAATAGTGGTCATTCTGTAGCTACACAGTGCAGGTCTTTTTTATTTTTTCGATTCATGGTCTAATTAGGTTAACATGGTAAAGGGGAAAAGGTTATTGCATGTTAAACTGGTTCAATGCCACCACATTTTGTGTCTGTACCAAGTCAGGCTATCTGGACCTTGTAGTTGTTCATTGTGTTCATACATTGTACTTGTTTTTCTTTGTATGTCTTTTTTTCCAGAGGAGTTGGGTGTTGATGGTTGATATGGTCTGTTGGCCTAGTATTCTTTTTCTTTATATTTTATTCAATCTCAATTTTTCTATTTATAAACATGATCAAGTTGTCCCTTTTCAGACAAGAAACAGTGGTAAAATGTCCTTCATCTTAAAGTTGGTACCCTCTACCCTTAAATCCTACCTACAATGACCTAGAATACTTTCATACATTTTTCTGGATAAATGAAGTAAAAATCATGTAAATATTGGCACTTACAAATGTATGTCATGTAAAGAAATTTCACAGTGCTCTGCCTCAAAAACATAATTTTAAAATAATTTGCACAAACTCTAGAAATTTACCGTAGTATTTTAATAATATTCATAACTCTACAATGTTCCAAGAACATGAAGAAAAGTGTCCTAATATATTACAAGATTTTCTGAGCACACCTGAACAATCGAACTTTTTTTTAATTGACTTTTCACTTTACCTCATCTACTTTAATTGTTGCTAGTGTGTTGACATAATCTTTGAATTTCTCTCTGTTCTGAACTGAAAAATAGAAAAAAGATGTTGTACAATGTACAAAACAACAAATTAATTGATCAGTCTGATATATACATAGTCATGATAGTATTATCATATATATTAACTATATAATACAATGTATACATTAGTCCATTAAGCTGATGGTCTATCAAAAGCCTAGGGGATTCACACCTTAGTAATTCTTCTTATTACCGGTAGCTTTTTTAAAGGAAATCTTTACTTATTTACCTAACATATTTGATGATATTTCTGACAAAGAAAATATTTTTATAATGCACCAGAAATTCCATTTGAAGTCTTTAGTAGTCAATACAAGTACATGTAAATTAACCATTAGCTTTTCTGTATATAGATATAAGAAGATGTGGTATGAGTGCCAATGAGACAACTCTCCATCTAAGTCACAATTTGTAAAAGTAAACCATTATAGGTCAAATTACGGCCTTCAACATGGAGTCTTGGCTCACACCGAACAGCAAGCTACAATGTAGCTATAAAGGGACCCAAAAATGACTAGTATGTACTTTTTTTGAAGTGTATTTATTTTCACTATTTCACCAAAGCTATATATTTTGCAGCTTGCATGCATAATAAATACCATTTAATGAATATCACCGGAATTTACAACTGCACATGCATCATTACTTTGTTTGCCTTACATAACCTTATCAAACTGTGAAACTGTTAACGTAACACTAGTGATCCATACAGAAAAATCAATTTAAGATTAACCACAACAGAGAATGCCCCAAGCCAAATATTATTTAAAGCTTTATTGTGTAACTAATGTTCAATTTAATCAGATAATAACCTCTAATGAACAGACGACTAAGTTGATGATTGAAATATCTTTGATTATTTTGTTTCATATAACTTTTAAACAAATAAAGACTAAATTAATGAACATTTTAAAATATTAAGTCAATTATGTTTTGACATGAAACGCAAAATTAAATACAGGCAATTTCATCGACAATGCCAAATTCGTGGAAATCAGTACTCTCGAAAAAAAGTACATATGCAGTATTTGAATCAACTGTTATATTGTAGTAAACAATGGTAAATATACAACAGTCAGGGGACTTATTGAAATAGGTGATTTTTAAATCACTTATTTAAGTAGCAAATTCGAAGTTTTGTCACAAATTGTGATTTTGTAGTTTTACCAAAATTTTAAACACATAGGTTTAGATAATATCTTTTCATTAGTAAAATTGAAAAAAATGAACTTTTTGCTTCTTTTAAGCAGCAAGGTTTATGCCTTTGATGCAATCATTTAGCTGCAAATTCTATTTTAGTTGAAAAAATGCTATAAAAATGGCTTTACATAATGAACTGATACTTTCTTAACAGATTTTTCCCAGCAGTGGGAGTATTTTTCCTGTAAAATTCAAGGTTTCATCTTATAGATTATGTAATAAAATTCTACTGTTCGCCATCAAAATTTCACTGTTGGGGGGTGTTGATATTAGTGGGGGTAATTAAAATAATGATACTTAAAGAAGTGATTTTTTGGAAGGAAATTGAGGTATGATACTTAAACAAGTGATTTTTATGTCATTATCCTAGATTTAGTACAAGGTCATCACCTGACATGACCCAGTCATCCAATCAACACAGATGTTGGTTCTGATAATTTTAGCAACATAATTAGTCCCTGGATCATTAGTATTCTATATTTAAAGCTACAATAAAATCAAATCACTTAGTCTAGTGATTAATTTGTACTACTTAAATAGGTGATAATTAAAGAAAAACAACTCTTATTTCCAACCTTTATGGACATAATGTTACTTGAATCAGTGATTTAGAAAATCACTCATTTGAGTAAGTCCCCTGACTGTACAATGTAATGTTTAACTTGAATAAGTAATTTTGAAAAGTAATCCCCCTGACTGTCTACATACACTTTAAAATGCCAAATGGAGACAATTTGTATGGCTCAATACAGCTAATATAGCTTAATTCAGCTACATGTACATATACACAAACTGAATGGACTAAACCCTATGGCCTAAAGTTTCAATGCATTTGGTGAAAATGTAGGTTTTACCACGGCTTTCATATTGTCAAGAATCTATTCAATTTTTGGCAACTGATCTGAAACTGCTATCTCCATATTGTTCAAAATTTTAAACTTCTTAAGCAAATTTAACATTTACCTGAGCGTACTGCTACTGCATACTTGCAATCGGTCAAAATCTTGTTCTAAAGCCAAATTGCAGAAATACATCTACATGCTAAATTTTTTTGAAACATTATTAGAAATATTTGTAGTTGTAATGCCTAGAACTGCCTGAACTGTATGGGCTACTGTAATCTCTTGACCTCATTAATGTGCCAACAGAAAATATTGAGAGCAATGATTGCAGAGATTGTTGTAAAAAGAACTATCTCTTCTTATAGGACTTAAAGTTGCTCAAAACTGAAGCAAAAAGTTAATTTCTACATCTTAATAACACAGTACAAGGAAAACCACATAGCATTTGGGAAGTTGTGGTACAAAGCCAGTCCAACTAATTATGACGTCTTGAAAGGCTTTTTTAATTTTTTTCTGTGACGCCTTCCTACGAGGAAAGGCTATTTTACGAGGAAGGCGTCACAGAAAAAAAATTAAAATAGCTTTCAAGACGTCATAATTATTTGGACTAGTTGTTGCCAGGTGCCGATTTACCAACTTAGCCAAAGTGATTAAAAATAAAATTCGTTGTTACCATGGACATTTAACACTGATCAGCATATGGAGGTCATATTGGAAAGCATTATTTCCATATGGCATCCTTAAAGATTTAAAGAGAACAGTAAACAGGTAAATACTAAAATAGTGACGATGATGAAGCGCCCGTTGTAATCTGCCACTGTACACTCATGACACTAACTTTACTATTTTATTTCATACCTTTGAATTCTGGATCATTTAAAAACGTTTTAAACTTTGTAACAAGTTCATGATTTGTCACTTTACATCCATTTTTAATGATAAAATCTTTCACTATTTCTTCTGTAAACCCGGAAGCCATTTCTGAAAAACAAACTACGGAACAATACCGGACCAACCACCAACTGAGCTGAGTTTTCGATTTCTGCCATTTTTGGGACAATTCTATTGATCTTTAGAGATATCTATAGTTTGTTTGCATAGGGTACATACTTTGTTGTACAGTAGGCATTAGTTGTAACATATTTATGCAATTTGCACAAAAGATATCAATTTTTTTTGTCTAGTTTGTATACAAAGGGGAGACAAATCTAAACTTATGTTTTTAGTTCACTAAATGATATTTCCTACATATTTTTATTTCTTCTTTCGGTTTTCAGTAGTCCTTCAATATCTGAAGATTATATACTGTTATAGTTGGAACGATTATTTACAGCAAAACTTCTATTTTCTAGACAGATATTAATTTTTTTCGCGATAATCATAAAATTTTGGCAACAATCATATTTATCAAAAAATGATTTTAAGACATATATTTGGTCAAACGTGTGAGTGAAATACCAGCCATTGGTATAACTCATTTAATGGCCATATTATGTATAATAATAAACTACTTTTTTACTGACATGCTGCATGTACATGTAATATAAACCTTTTTGTTTATAGTTTGAAAAATGTATCTTTTTGAAATGAAGATTTTATTGAAAAGGAAAGTCAAATATTGAAATAGTTATCAAAGGTATCAGGATTATAATTTAATACACCAGACGCGCGTTTCATCTACGTAAGACTCATCAGTGACGCTCAGATCAAAATAGTTATAAAGCCAAACAAGAACAAAGTTGAAGAGCATTGAGGACCCAAAATTCCAAAAAGTTGTGCCAAATACGGCTAAGGTAATCTATTCCTGGAATAAGAAAATCCTTAGTTTTCCGAAAAATTCGAAGTTTTGTAACAGGAAATCTATAAAAATGACCATATAATTGAAACTGAGATATTGAAAATTTAAAGAATTCACAGAAGGATGGAGTGGTGGCCATTGTCATGATTGTGTTGGGATGGTTGATACTTTTTTTTTACTTTCTTTTTTAAAGTACAATAAAGTACATTGTAAAATGATAATGCAACAAAACATTTATGACAATCTAAAAATGATTTAATTACTTGATAGAGCATGTAGAGTATTGCAGGTCTTTTTTCATAAATATATTATTCTGTGATTTATAGATATAACTTTTTTAAAATGGACTTTGATATAAAAATAAGAACATGTGGTATGATTGCCAATGAGACAACTCTCCACAAGAGACCAAATGACACAGAAATTAACAACTATAGGTCACCGAACGGCAATCAACAATGAGCAAAGCCCATACCGCATATTTAGCTATAAAAGGCCCCAAAATGACAAATGTAAAACAATTCAAATGAGAAAACTGATGGCCTAATTTATTTACAAAATAATGAACGAAAAAATCAAAAATGTTACACAACAACAAACAACAACCACTGAATTACAGGCTCCTCAGACTTGGGACAGGCACATACAGAATGTGGCGGGGTTAAACTAGTTTGCTGGTGCCAAACCCTCCCCCTAACCTGGGACAATGGTGCAACGGCACAACACAAGAATAAACTATACAAAACAATAAACAAAAAACAAATATGAGAAACAGCAATAAACAACAACAACTAAATTACAGCTCTCCTGACTTGGCATAATCAGATTTAAAAAAATTAAATCTCTGGTGCCACTGACAAAGTTTAGACCATTTCAATAAAAAGTTATTTTTTTTTAGACCAAATTGAATATAATGATAATGTTGGGAAACCCTCATATTGTATTCATAGTCATAATTCTCCAAAGACAGATGCTAATTTCTTTTTTTACGAAAGCTGATGAAATTTAATAGTTTTAAAGGTCATAGAGATACATAAAACTTTACTTACTCAGATATGTAAATAGTAAGTTATTTATAAGTTTCTATCATGGCCCTTATCTTTAATCTTAAGATTGTATTCCCCCAGTTTGAATGTTCAAGAAAAATGGACAGCTACATTGTTCATATTGTAGCTCATAGCTGTACGGTCTGAAGAATAATCTTTCTCAATTCTCCTTATTTAAAAGCTCTGTGCCTTTTACTTAGCATCTGTATGTCTTCTATTTTCAGTAAATGTATGGAAGAACTCAAGCTTTCCTTATTTTCACCGTAAACATTCTCACGATTTTTGTTGTTGTTATTGGTTTCAGGTTGGTGTACCTTGATGACATATAAAATAGTAAATCTACAAAACTGGGCAAAGCAGTATGTGTTGGATCCATACTCACAAAACAGGGGCAGTAAGTGTGCTGTACCTACTGCTGGAGGAAATGAGAATAATTATAATGAAGTCTATCCCGGATTATTCCTTGGAGACAGGTATATATTTATGCAATACTAACTTGTTTCATCAGAAGGCATTCATTAATGTTACGTAAGTTAATTACTTTTGTGCTTATTCACCAACCAATATTGAAACTGAGTTTGGTATTTTTGTGATAGTTTAAAAATGTAAGAACTTTGCATGGATCTCTATGCCATCAAGTATGTCAGTCAGTGGGAATTTGGTTTGACATTGAGTCCTTGCAAAATGCTCCACAATAAGAAATGACAGTTATTTAACAACTACTATATCAATGGAAACCAGAATGATATTTTATATACACATTTACTCATATGAGCATCTGATTGTAAGAGATCCTTGTTTAAATTTATAGAAGTGGAAAACTTATGCAGAACTCAGAAGTGAAAAATTTCTACATTGAAAATTTACTGTATTGACTTTATATGCATGTCAGTTATAAATACATTTTTAGGAAAATAGCCATGGACAAAAACAGTCTAAAAGAACTTGGAATCACACATGTAATTAATTGCGCTCAGGGTCAACGGTCAATATTTGTAAATACAGATGCCAAGTATTACAAAGACATGGGAATCAAATTTTATGGTATTAAAGCCTCGGACACAGAGTCATTTGATATATCAAAGTTTTTCAGGCCTACTGCAAATATTATACAGCAAGCTCTGGAAAAGGGAGGTAATTATAACAACGTCAGTTTTATACTAAATGGCACTTTTAAACTTTTTTTTCCTTTTAAATTCTGTCCAGTTTGTTCTGGGCATTGCATGAGATTGTGTCATGTTGTGCTGTGTATAATATTGCTGTATATGAATTCTTCTATAAAGTACAACCATCAATATTTTAAGTGAAATACTGTTATGACTGTACAAGAATCAAAAATGTTCATGAGTCGTTTCGATCACATTGTATTAAATAGTTTTATTTGCACCTTCCAATCGTTTATATTTTCATGAATGTAATGAAGAAAATAAAGCATCTTCAAAATCAGACCATATGATATGTCCACATCTGTTATTACGGGGGAAACAAGAAAAGTAAAAGATTGGTTTTGTTCTTAAGAGGTAACAGATGAATGGTAGATTGCAGAGTACACTATCACAGTACATTAGTAGCGTTGCTCACAAATTCTCTGCCAGGTTAAATTGTCAATGTGCATTTAGGGTCAATATATTAATTGTTGTATAGGAAAAACACAATTATATCTTACTGTGGAGGCAATAGAGTGAACTTATCCTGCTTATAATTCCTCTTCTGTCTTCCTTAGTTGAACAGTAAACACACAAGATTATTATATGTCATCATAGAATTATCAATTTATTATATAAGACATATCTGTATCACATGTGCTTACTGTAAAGTGATGCCAATGACAAGTTTTATTGGCACAAATGAAAAAAAAATTAGTGATACTGTTTACAATAAGAAAGTGCTGGCGCAATGAAAGACAAATTTATACAAATGAAATGTCAATTGACACAAATGGAAAATGCCTGTGACTTTTTTTATTGCTAATTAGTAAAATAACTCAAATTTTTTTCTCAAATATTTTAAGTAATTAACAATGATAATATATAGTTATTATCCTATTGAGGTCAGAGAAATTGTTTCATAGAAGAGATAGGGGATACTTTTGTTTTTAGTTTAAATGCAGATAATAGGATTTGGAATTGATAAGTATGCAGTGAATAGAAAAACAATAGATATGGGGTATTCATCCATGACACAAAATCAGTACATGCACAGCAAAAAACACACAAAAAGCAAAGGAACAGTGCTTTTATTGCTGTTCTTCATCTTAAAGTAACAGTGAGGCCTTCAACACAGAGCAAGAAAAGTTTAGTTCACAGTATTGCCCTTGTAGATTTAGTAGACTATTTAATAATACTACATGATTCCTTTATTTTTTAGGTAAAGTATTAGTTCACTGTGTGTCAGGTGTAAGTAGGTCTGCTACTATAATTATTGCCTTTTTAATGTTGAAACGAAGAATGACGTTCCGAGAAGCTATCAAGTCTGTCAGAGAAAAACGTTGTATCTGTCCGAATGACGGCTTCATGACCCAGCTATGTGTCTTACACCATGAACTGTTTGGAGTCCAAGAACTACCAAACAGAAGAAGTCATAAATGTATTATATTGTGAATATTATAAATGTGTGAAAAACTGTGTGTAGTATTTGAAAAGTAAAATGTTGAAAGACCTTGTACTTTTTTCAACAAAAATTTTGATTGAGTGTATATATATATATATTGATAAGGGATTAATGAGGTTACCACCAGGGGCACACTATGAAGCCTTTCCGAAATGGTGATAGATCAGGAGTGTTTCCAAAATTGTCAAATAATTCTCAATGGAAAAGCAAGGGCTTTTGTAAAAGTAAAATTTAATGATTAATCATACAGATTAGTTTCACAAGACTGTAAATGCAGGAATCTATGAATGGCTATATACCTTATGATCATCTAAAATATGTGATAAAAGTTAATGTGATAAAAGTCTTATATAGAATAAACTGATATTATCAAAAAATGTTTTTTTTGGAATTGAATGCATAGGGGCATTTTCCCATTTATTGATATATTGTAATCATCTTAATGTACATCATTCCAGAAATATTGAATTGTTCCAATAATTCCTACATACACATTCCCAATAAGGACTCATTAATCCCTGGTGTAAATGTCTTGGTTTAGAGTAGATTTGACCATTACAATGATATTATTATTCAAATTTGTAATGAAATGTTTGTAAGATGATTTTTAAAGGGGCACTAGCTGTCAAATTCATGTTCACCGATTTGACTCAAATTCTCATATTTGATTTATAACAACGTAAAACATTTATCCAAACTATTAAAAGTCTAAAATAAACAGTTAACAGGACATGGGCATGATAACACGTAGCTTCGATTTGTGTGTATTTTAGTCTAGACGCCATCTAATTAACTATCGAGTTGACCTCCAAAGTCATCCGATGACCATATAAGCAATGTAAACATAAATAAAGATATAAATAGATTAAGCGAACTCATGCTATTGGATTTTTCTAGGTCTGTTTAATTTCATATTATAGAATAAAAATATATGTTTATCATCGTTTTTACCTGTATAAGAATGATTTTTTGTGGATCGGATCAGTCAATCAAATGATTTACCTTTGTTTCACTTTCAATGTTGACATTCTTTTCCTTTAAATAACTTTACACATACAATTCACGTGTTATCCATCTCTAGCTAAGGGTTAAATTGAAGTTCACATGAATACGGATTCAATGAGGTCGAATTGTTCACTTTCAAGTGAATAATTCATCATCAATGTTTCTTAGCTTATTTTGACAAAATTGAACCATACTGGTGGCTAAAAGTGAATTATTATTTCACTATTTCACTTTCATTAATGATTGAACAAAAAAAAATCATATATTAGATTTTTTATATATCTCGTAGCTAGTGCCCCTTTAAGAAAAAAAATCCCTTAAATAAGCTTAACTCTAACTTTATTAATTTTTTTCACATTTTTTCATATTCTGTTAAATGCCATTTCAGATTGAGATAGCCTTTGGACATCAGTATTTGTACCATATATTTCCTTATGTATTTTAAATTTTTTTTTATTATCTGGCTGAGACCTAGTTTTTGTAAGTGAAAGTAGTTTTTTCTGTATTTTTTTTATTTCTGATTTTCCTTCAGTTATGCTTGAATAGTTGTAGATGTTATTCTTATGTTCTTTCATTTTTCAACCTGGATCAAATATAAAATGTATCATTTACAATACCCATGTTAATCTTGTTATGTTAATTTACTTATCCCTTGCTTGAAAGGAAAGCATATATAAAAAGAAGATGTGATAAATTTTTTCTGCAACTTAAAAAAAATTGTTTTAAAATCAGATTAAATAATGGAAATATCTACATTAGTATGACTTAGTATGAACTTAAAAAATATCATCTAAAATGTTAAACTACGCAAAGATCAAATGAGCATTCTATAGTTGTATACATCTTCTTTCTTTGGTCTCTAGGTGACAGTTGTCTTATTGGCAAATACCACATCTCCTTTTTTATAAGCCAAACCTACACCAAGAGTTTAATCCACAACATTGTTGAACGCAAGTCACCCTATTGATTTGCCTTTCTCTATGGATCTGCATGTGAATTTTCATGTAAATAAATGAATTACATACTGTGTTAAGCAGTTTCTGTGAAAAAAAGACTGATCAGTTGCAATCCAAGATATAATTTAGAATTTTTATATTTCCATGCTTCCTTAAGACAGGAAGATCACATTTGCTTGGTATTGGATAATTTTTCATTTGATATACTGATATTCTGTTCTCTGTGTTATGTGATGCATTTTTCAGCTTAATTTGCTTTATATGTGGTGTAGGTTTTGGGGGTCATCCTTATATATAAAACTGTCACATGGTTTTATGGGGTATTGTTGTACCTGAATAATTACCTTTTTTACAGTATTATATAATTAAATACCGGTATTATGTTTTGAAAGTAGTCAACTTTTAAAATCAATTATTTAAATGTTAGTATATTATGAAATATAATTAATATTCAATGACAATTTTTCTGGAGGTAAAAAGTATACAAAATTTGATAAACATTAATGCATCAAGACTCATCAGCAGAAATTGACCCAAAAATTTATATATTGATCCATTAAGGGAGGATTTGTTTAGATTAATACATTTTCAGAAGTGGTAGAATTGTAAGTTTACCAAAGTTTGATATATAAGCTCTTTGTAGTGTATCCTGAAAGATTTAGCTTTTGAATCTCATATTCAATTGTTGTACTCTGAAATAACGATCTTGTTTGCATTATTTTTGTCAGATAAGCAGCTGAAGAAAAACTCTCAAGTTTATTTTCTTGTGCTGTAATGTAGTGATATGTTCTCTTTTATTGTTAAATTAGCTCTTTAACAAAAATTAAAATTTTCTGCTCTGTATTATCTTTTTACTAAGAGTGTATGCTTCATCTATTAAACTATTGAAGATAAGATGTCCAACAATTAACTTTTGTTTTTGTGGACAAGTTTATATTAAAAATGTGCAATAAAACAGCTTAGAAATATTGTATTATCAATGAACATTTTTTTGTTTATTATTTTCTTTAATTAATGCATCCTTACTTTAAACATACCAAAACTAATGGAAGATTTATGTTTCATACAGTATTCAAAATTCTTGTTCTTTATTAACAGACTGATGTTAAAATATCAATATTATACTCACTAGAAATTGGTAAACCTACAAACAAAAGTTTTAATTGAACACATTAGATGTATATCAAAATGGCAGGTGTTTTATTTTGATTTTGCCAAACTGAGATGAGCAAATTTTATTTTGTAACTAAATTAAATGTATATCAAAATGGCAGGTGTTTTATTTTGATTTTGCCAAACTGAGATGAGCAAATTTTATTTTGTAGCTAAATAAAGTTATGATGTTTTGATATTTCTGTTATAGTTACTGCAATTTCTTTTAAATAAAGACTTTATAAGAGGGTCTGGGTGGGATTTACAGACTAGAGAATAATAACTAATAAAATAACGAGAAAAATGAGTCAAAAAGATAATGAAAAGAGAATAATGGGGTGCAAAAGAATAAAGAACAACTGTGAAAAATTAAAGAATTAGATAATAAAATACTGATTATAGAAATGAACAATGTACAGAATAAAGAAATCATGTAATAAATATGATAATGCTAATAGTAAAATAATTTTCATGGGAATTTTACAGAATAAGCATTATTTTTAAAAACAAAGAAAAATGCAAAAAAAAAAATTAAATATACAGAAATGGAGGACTCCCATCCAGATCCTTATATAGATAATTCCATAGCTAGCTAGACAAAGAAAAATGCTAAAAAAAAATTAAATATACAGAAATGAAGGACTCCCATCCAGACCCTTATATAGATAATTCCGTAGCTAGATAGATAGGTCATACTGTCGGACATAATCCAATTCTTTCAGGATTAATCATCTTTATGTATAAAAAGAATGTTAAGGACAGATCCATTGAAAAGAAGAGCTCTTTATAAATAAAACATAGAAAATAATTCATTGGCAACATTTCAGCAAAAATTTGCCTGCAAGAAATTTAGTACAAGAAATTTGGTACAAGTTGTTTAATTTCAATGAAAACTTTTTAACAATGTAGTTTTGACTTCTACACATTATGTTAATATATACTTTTACATGTGTATTGGGTAGTCCCATAATTATACTTGATGACTTTACATTATGTGTTCCTTTTGCAGGAATTACCCATATTTACTTATGTTTTTTTATTATATAATTATAGTTTTGTTTACCTTTGTTGTTTTTTATTGTTTGAATTACATTTTTTATTGGTTGTCATGGTTTCTGTGATATGCTGTGAAATAAATAAATATATAAACATCACTTATCAACTTCTATAAATATATTTCTGGTAGACAAATATATCTGGTGGAGAGTTTTCTCATTGGCAATCTTACCACATCTTAAAATTTTTATAAAGTCTACTAGTAGTAGTTGTGCCAGTATAATGGGAAAAAGTTTATAAAAAGCTCTTTTTAAGTGAACTAAGCACTAAGATTTTCAAACATTTTGACATGGAGTATCACCAAAGAGACATTAACGGTTGAAATGCAAATCTCTTTCAGTATAAAATTAGTACTATTTTGATGTTGTTACTACCACTAGGTCGATACCTCTTCTGGTGCACTGTTAGTTCCAGATAGTATCACCAGTCTATTAGCTCAGTAGTAAGGTACTTACAGTAAAGAATATCTCTCATATTATAACATTAATGGTCCAAATTTTACTGCAACAGATCTGCATTTCGACCATAAACGTCTCTTCAGTTTTGCTAGAGGTCAAAATATTCAAAAAACCAAAACTTCTACAAAAGTTGAAGTTGATCAAACCAAAAGAGACCTGAAGTACAGCTAAATCTGGACGTGGAATCAGGGCTTTGCATGACAGAAATATATTCCTTAATTTAAAATGATTTCCTAAATTTTGTAACAGCAGATTTCAATCAAAACAGTATCCGTACTTTCATGCCAGTCTCAGTAAAGCTTTGATTCCTTGTCCTGCTTTTGATATACTTAGATCCTTTTTGGTATTACCTGCTCTTCCCCTAATGCTGAAGCAGGAACTGCCACTGATAAGTTTTAAGTGGATTAAACTATAAGCTTTGTATCTTTGAGTATTTACCTGTCCAGTGCACATGATTTCACTCCAGTTCAGTAGGTTACGGCTTTAGTGTTGCTCAATTAGTATACCTTTCTTTATAGTGTTTATTAAACTGTTGGCATTTGTCTTTTTTTCTTTGACTAATGCTTTTTGATTGTCTGCTAGATATATTCTTAGACTGGTTCATTTATTTTTTATCTCGTATGAAAATAACTCCAATGTTGGACAAGGCTATATAAATATAGTCACCTTGTCTCTCTCTATTTGTCGGTAAAACTGCTGTCGAGTGGCAATTCTTTGACGGTGCAGTATTTACTTGTGAATATACACACAAGTGCGGACATAATGGCCTTGGACATTAAATCAGCTAGCGTCTTTTGTAGGAGTGAGCCATGCTTTCACCACGCTAAAGAATCATTGCAACAATTCTATCAAAGCTTAGGTAGGCGGCATGTTGCAGGGCCATATATGTCTCCCATATCATATCGCTTTGCCCAGTGTCTAAAAAAAAAATTAATGAGCCAGGTTTTTTTCAAAGAACCTCTCTTCCTTTTTCTCAAAAAGTTCATCGGAAATAGATATTTAGGGTCAATTACACAAATAATACAAGACGGTCATGAGTTATAGATTCCAGGTGCCGAAGTTGTGTATCATAAACTCATCATATATATCAGGATTGAAAATTTGTACTCAGACGCCTGTTTCGTCTACAAAAGACTCATCTGTGACGATCGAATAAAAAAAGTTAAAAAGGCCAAATGAAGTACGAAGTTCAAAAGCACTGAGTATCAAACATTCCGAAAGGTTTTGCCAAAGCCAAATGTTATCTTTTCATGGGGTAGAAAATCCTTAATATTTCGAAAACCTCAAAGTTTTGTTAACCTTTAATTTATAATTATGACAATATCAGTGACTTTTCATGTCAACACAGAAGGCTGACTACTGGGCACTTAGTTTTAATTTACTTTTGCAGTTTTTTCTTTATTTATCTGTGTACTGTTATTTCCTTTTTGTTTGTTTGATTTGGCTATTTGTTTTCGTCCTTTTTGGTCATATTGTAACGAAAACCGAGCGGTCGGGCCTAAGTGTTAAACTATAAATGTTTATCCCTTAGTGCGTTGCTATAAAAATGTGTTTTGTTAGAATGTACGAGTATATATAAGAAAAAAAAGTTATAACTGGTGACCCTTCTTTGGTAGCGTGGTACTCTGGTATCGTGGTACAATGTGGTACTCTGGTTTTCTGAACACACACTGGTAAGGTTGGTTCATCTGGTAAGGTAATGACTCGGATATAAAAGGGTAGATTGGAGTATACTAGCTTTTTGTATGGTAACTCTCGATGTTTGTAAGAACAACAGACTCGTTAAATAAAAATCAACTTGTATTAACTTTAAGATGGAATTAAATATCAACAATATAAATATTAAATAACAACAGTATTCTAGTCTTACAAATAAATACTTTATTAACCTTCTATCGTGAATTAAAGAAAATGAATAGCGGAAAAATATACCCAGAAAGTTTACTAATTGTAGTTTGGTAAACGGCAAATGGTAAATCAAGTTCAAGTCCAAAAGATAAAGTTTCTCTCGAGAAGTTATTCTCTAAATGTAACTTGTAAAGGAATTAACAAACCCACATTATACGAACGTAGTCTCCTCGAACATTGTAATAGTGTTGGCTGTCTGGTTAACTACTTGGTCTGGTACATGGTATCTGTACGTATATCAAAATAGCATGGAATTAACGTGTGTTCCTTGCCCAGGGTAAAATCGAGCTAAAGACTTATCTGTATTCTCCGCCGTATTTATACTTAGGTAAATCAATTTACCGATTTGGTTTACCATTTACCATTTTGGTTTACCATTTACCATTTCGGAAAATACCTAAATTAAATTACCAAAACCGGAACTGGTGAATACCAAAATAGGTATTGACGTCATTGTACGTCATTTTAAGTACACAATGCACAGGTGTTCCTATGTAAAAACATAGGCAAGTATAATAAAAAGTTTTAGAGTTATCAATGTTTAAACATAGTTATACAAGAAATATATAATAAGAAAAGTCAATTATCGATAAGATTTAACAACGTCATCACACAATTTTAGGGGAAACAAGTTCCATTTCAGGGGACCCACATTTCGTTACAATATGACTCTTCTCTTGACGAGCCTCGATATTTGTGCATCCGGTTTTTTGGGGTTTTGTCTTTGGGCGCCCCTGATGCAGATAATTGCGTTGGGCGCATGACATTTTTTCAGAGTTGTTTTCATTTTGTATATTGTCGTATTTATATATAACGTAATTTGTACTTTATTGGGAAAGTGTTAATGTTATGATGTTTAACGTTACTGTACTATATTTCATTGACCATCAACTACGAAAAAATATGTATTTGAGTCTTCGGAAAAATGCATTTACCAAGTCAGAAATATCACACTTGTTTTCCAGTCGTTCTATTGTTGATTTAGTCGAGCGTTTCGTTTAGTCAGTTTTCTGGACTTCTAATCTTTTTGAATTTACCTTAGAATATCGGTATTTGTGTTATAATATTTTTTACACAGTAGTATCCAGGTGAAATGGAGAAAATGTACACTACAGAAACTAGAAGGTCTGTCCAATATCTTGATATTTTCCTCAATACTGACACAAATGGATGACCTCAAACTAAAATCTTTGACAAACGTGAGTATTTCAACTTTAAAAATGTCAAATTGCCATTTCTCAGAAATGGCACACGCCCATCAAATTGCGATAACATATCTTAGTTTATATGTCAAGCTCGTTTATGAACATGTTCACCATATACGGACGTTACTTACAAGAGTGGGCTCCATAAACAATTACTGTTCCAACAAGGTTGTGAGGAAGAACGACTGAAATCGACACTATATTAGTTTTGAGGTCATCATGAATTTGTTGACCGATACGATATGTAAATGTCACAACTTCTAGCAACATGATTGCGCGTTCTTAGATCTTTAGATACTAGGAAACTGGTCTGATCTGTAATTTTACCACCAGTGTGCTATTCCGGATTGTGAACTTTGACCGAGTTAAGATTCGCATGGCGGTTGATGTCTGAATAGCACGACATGGTTACCTTGTTGATACTCCCGGTCTCGATCAGTTTGGTTTGCCTCATCTTTTTATTGTTTTTGTTTTACTTTGATTTGTACCCTCTTTGTAAGGTACATCAATTTATGAAATTTTAACATCAGTAAACTACTGCTACCTAACGTATATTAGTACGCAACTAAGCATTACTTTTCACAATATCAACAGGGTTATTTCAAACATTTTTTAAAACCTTGAATCGTATTTCAAATGTTTCTTTTAATTCTGATCAATGCATTTTCTGTATCAAACACAATGCAGTAATTGGCTAGAGGTGCAACTTGATAAAAATTTTGGATTCTTGGATACAGATTGTGATTCCACCTGGTCACATCTAATTTTTTTCTCAGACGACTGTTTATGACGTTTTTACACTTAGTCTGTTAACTAGAGAGGCGAAAGATACCAAATGGATATTCAAACTCATTTGTCAAAAACAAACTGACAATGTCATGGCAAAAAACGAAAAACAACAGTACACAAAGCACAACACAGAAAACTATTTGACCAAAATTAGCCTTTAAATCAAATATATTTCATGATTTATAAAATAAATTGTTGAATATATGTGTTGTAATAAAATATAACAGGTTTGGTTTAAAGCATGCCTTTGTATGCGTTGCACATGTTAGCCATAACATGACAGTAAATTCAGCTTAAAAGGGCATTGGCTGTCAAATTCATGTTTACCGATTTGACTCAAATTCTCATATTTGATTTATAACTTACTAAAACGGGATTCCAAATTATTAAAAGTCTAAAATAAACAATTTACAAGGCATGGGCTCGATAATATGTATCATTGTTTCGTGTGTATTTTAGTCTAGACACCATCTAATTAACTGTCGAGTTGACGTCCGAAGACTGCCGACGGTCATATTAGCGATATAAACATTAATATAGATATAAATAGATAGCGAACTCGTGCAATTGGATTTTTCTTGGTCTATTTAATTTCATACTATAGGTTAAAATATATGTTGATTATCGTTTTTACCTGTATAAGAATGAGTTTTTGTGGATTGAATCAGTTAATCAAATGACTTACCTTTACTTCACTTTCAATGTTGACATTCTTTTCCTTTTAATAACTGAACACGC